CTGGCCAGGATACACCCATTCCACAGAGGCAGGACCATGATTAAAGGAGCTGGCACCTCCTGCTCCATGACCCCCCTGTCTGACCCCAGAGGAAGACAGAAAGCACCAGAGAATCCCAGCCCTAGGGGAACCTTAGGCAGGGTGAGGGGAGATAATTCACTCCTATTCTGAGATGTGGAAGGTCGAACCCACTAGTACCAGGAGGATATGGCTTCTGAGCTCTAAGGCACAGGGAAATTTAAATAACAGATGTTTAAGCAACCTTCCCTGCAAGCCGGCAGTGCAGTGACCCCTCTGCTGTGATGTGTTGCAGCTTAAAAATAGCCCACAATGAACTGCTCTGAGTCCCAATTGACTCAAGCTTACGTAACTCTGCGTGAAAGATGGCCAGCTGCATCAGCCCAGAGGGAAGGCAACAGCACAGCCGCCCTGACTGCTGCCCACAGCTGGCTTAGGGGCTGGGACAGCTCCTCACCCTCCCTGGGAGCAGCCCCCACATCCAGAAGCCAGCAAAAGTGGAGGCAAAGGTGGTACTGCCAAAAGGACACATGGCTTCATGACTGCTGAGCAGAGCAGACCTCCAGTCACACCTGCAGAGGGAATGTGAGCAGAGCTGCCCTCTTTCAGGGTTCCTATGGAACCCAGGTCCAGTGGATGGTGGGAGTGACTTTATTTATTTATTTATTTATTTTGAGACGGAGTCTGGCTCTGTCACCCAGGCTGGAGTGCAGTGGCGCGATCTCAGCTCACTGCAAGCTCCGCCTCCCGGGTTCATGCCATTCTCCTGCCTCAGCCTCCGGAGTAGCTGGGACTACAGGCGCCCGCCACCTCGCCCGGCTCGTTTTTTGTATTTTTTAGTAGAGACGGGGTTTCACCGTGTTAGCCAGGATGGTCTCAATCTCCTGACCTCGTGATCCGCCCGTCTCGGCCTCCCAAAGTGCTGGGATTACAGGCTTGAGCCACCGTGCCTGGCCAGGAGTGACTTTAAATTAAACAGATGACGGCCGGGCGTGGTGGCTCACACCTGTAATCCCAGCACTTTGGGAGGCTGAGACGGGCGGATCACGAGGTCAGGAGATCGAGACCATCCTGGCTAACACGGTGAAACCCCGTCTCTACTAAAAATACAAAAAATGAGCCGGGCGAGGTGGCGGCGCCTGTAGTCCCAGCTACTCCGGAGGCTGAGGCAGGAGAATGGCGTGAACCCGGGAGGCGGAGCTTGCAGTGAGCTGAGATCGCGCCACTGCACTCCAGCCTGGGTGACAGAGCCAGACTCCGTCTCAAAAAAATAAAAAAATAAAATAAAATAAAATAAATAAATTAAACAGATGACTGGGTCCAAGAGACCAGGGCAGGAGCCCATGTGAACAGAGTGACTGGAGCCACCCAAAAGATTCCTTTTCCTCTTTGAAGAGGAGGTTCCCTGGCTTGGAGGGACATGTCAGCAGGATTAATGCTTGGCTAAAGCTGCCACTGCCATGGAGCCCAGGGGTGGAGCTGACTCCTTTGGGGCCTCTGATTCTCCATGGTCCAGGGTGCAATGTCCCATGAGGGACCTGTGGCATGAGGGAGGGATCACTGGCTTCAAAGGTGATTGAATCCCATGATCTTGACCGCCTGCTGCTTCAAGCCCCTTGCCTTGCCTAATGCATCTCCAGATCCCAAATGCCCAGTGCAAGAAAGGCTACAAAAGTATGCAGGTGGTTGGTCAGGTGAGGTGGCTCACGCCTGTAATCCCAGCACTTCAGGAGGGCGAGGTGGGTGGATCACCTGAGGCCAAGTATTTGAGACCAGCCTGGCCGACATGATGAAACCCCATCTCTACTAAAACTAAAAAAAATTAGCTGGGGATGGTGGTGCACGCCTGTAATCCCAGCTACTCAGGAGGCTGAGGCAGGAGAATTATTTGAAGCCAGGAGGCAGAGGTTGCAGTGAGCCAAGTTCATGCCACTGTACTCCAGCCTGGGTGACAGAGTGAGACTCTGTTTTAAAAAAAAAAAAAAAAAAAAAAAGAGTATGCAGGTGGTTAAACCAACCTGAAAGAGAGTGGAGAGGTGAGAAGGTGAAGATGCCCCTGGCATTGGGAGTCTCTGGTACTCACTGGTCCCTCTGCTTTGGCACATGCTGAGCCTTACCAAGGAATAAGCAACTTCCCTCAGCTCCTACCACCTGAGCTCAAAATAGGAACCACCACAGGCCTGGTCCCTGAGCTCCCATAGAGCAACAGTGAGACTGGGTTTGGAATGGGGCTATATCTGGAGCCCACGGGTATGACCCTAATATAGTTTGGATATTTGTCCCACCCCAATCTCATGTCGAATTGCAATCCCCAGTGCTGGAGGTGGGGCCTGATGGGAGGTGTTTGGGTGATGGAGGTGGATGCTTCATGGCTTGGTGCTGTCTTCATAAGTGAGTTATTTTGAGATCTGTCATTTAAAAGTATGTGGCACCTCCCTGCTACTCTCTCTGTCTTTCTCTCTCTCTTCCTCCTTCTGCCACTATGTGAAGGGTCTGCTCCTGCTTTGCCTTCCGCCATGATTGTAAGCTTCCTGAGGACTACACAGAAGCAGATGCTGACACAATGCTTCCTGTATAGCCTGCAGAACTGTGAGCCAAGTAAACCTCATAAATTACCTAGTCTTGGGTATTTCTTTCTAGCAACCTAGAGTGATATAGACTCCCAGAGAGCCTTTGGGTCCCTCAGAATATTCCCTGAAAGGCTGGGACTGAGGCCGAGACACAAGGGGAATCTTAGGCCAGATTCATGGTACCCCATCAAAGCAGGTCACTCTGCCCCATGCATGACCTCCAGACTCCAGAGGACAGTGACACCAATGGGCAGTCAGGAAGGCATCTGCTGCCTCCTCAGTGCCAGCTCCCACCTTGGCCTGCCTCAGCCTTTATTAGCATCTGCTTGCCCTTAGCCCTAGTGGGTTGAGATGGAGGGAGATGGGACAGAGAGGTACTTACTCTTCACAGCTCTTGGTGGGAAGGCTGGTCTCCCAAAGCCCTAGGAGAAACCTCTGTCCACACCACTCCACCCTGGTGGCAGGCCCAGGCCTCCCATGGCCACTAGCAACCCTCCCCTTGCACTGGCCACCCACTGTAGCTGAGCTACTGCCCAGGCCTCCCCTAGAGGAGAGGCAGCCCAGCCTTCATAAGCCCTGGAAGCCACATGGTCCCCCAGCCCATCCAGGGACCTAGAACTAACCCTCCCTACCCTGTTCTCCCTGGTAGCCCAGTCACTGATTTGAAGCCCTAAAATAGTCCCAGCTCCTGACACCCCAGATGGGGTTGGGACTATCAGGTGGCTCTGAGAATGGAGCTCAGAGCTTAGGGGCTGCAGAAATTGAGAGTGGGGGCAGCTGTGCCACAATCCAGGGCCCCAAGTGCCTAACTGGGTCCCCTCCCTGGAGAATTCTGGCCCTGGAGGCCCTTGGCCCAGAAGCAGGCCCAAAGCCCTACATTCTGGCTGCACTTGACACCCTCTTTCTCTCCTATCTCTCTTCTCTGGGAGCCTTTCCCATGCTAAGCTCCCTTCTTGTCCAGAGACTCCCTTTCTCTCTGAGCCCCTCATGTGAACAGATAAGGCAGTGGTCCATGAGCTGTAGAAGCTCAATGGGGAAGGAACTCCTGGGCTTAAGAGGTTTGGGTGACCCTTAGAACCCCAGGATGGGGTTAAAGGGGAGAACTACAAGTTGGAGGGATGAAGGCAGTCCTTTCCAACCGGGGTGGGGATGGGCTCCAGGATACTCCACTTACCTCCCTCTCAGCCTCAGGGGTAACACAACTGTCTCCTGCACACCCAGAGAGACAAAGGGTCAGTGGCTAAGCATGTGAGGCTACAACCTCCTCAGTGCCTGCTAAGGCACTGAGAGTCATCCAAGGTACGGCAGTAAACAGACAGTCTGTCTCTGTCCCCCTTCAGCACACAGGTTCCTGATCTTTGGATCCCTGCACTTAGGCAAGAATCTCCTTTTAAGCCTTACCCACCTGTCCTCAGAGTCCTTAGGGTCCCCAGGTCTGGACTTCTCTCTGGCCTGAGGTGGCAGAGTGAGCAGCAGCTGGATGGAGAAAGCTGGACAGCTCTGGTCCCAAGGAGACTCCCACTCTGATTAGCAGGGAGCTCTTGCTCCAAACCCAGGGTTCCATGTGTGACAGGGCACAGAGCTGTGGGCTCCGAGGGAAGGAAGTCTACCCTCTTACAGTGAGCTGGAGTCTCCTAACTGAAGGGATGGAGGCTATGGGGTTCCTGAGGGAGAAGGAACACTGTGATCCAGGTCCTGGGACAGGCACCCTGGCGCCTCAGCTACCCCCTTAGCAGTCAGTGTAGGGAGGAAGAGGAGGAGGGGGAAGTCTCCCTCTCAGAGGAGCATGCCCCTCTACGAACTGTTGTGCAGTGGCCTTTACAAGTACAAATAGCCTGGGCAGTTGGCACTTTGAAGTTGGCTCCTTGAAAGTATGGAGCTGAGGCCTTGCTGCTGGCTCCTCTCTCTTAAGGCTACAAGTACAATCAATGCTGGCAGTGTTGCAGGGACCCAAGCCTCTATGCCCCGATGGCAGGCCCCATTCCATCCCAGCTGGTGTGACGGTGGGCACTGCAGATCGAGCAGGGAGCCCTGGAGAAGTGCTAGGGCTGGGGAAAGGGGAGCAAGCAGCCTGACTCATGGAAGAAACCATCCTAGTCACTGCATGCTTGGGTACTCAGCCTACTTCCTTGGTTCCATCTAACAGTCCCCAGGGCCCTATGACCTGGATCTGGGCCTTGCTCACCCTCCCCGTTCTCTAGAGCCTTCTTGCTGATCCATATCCTTTCCAGCCTCAGGGCCTTTGCACATGTGACTCTCTGCCAAAAACTCTCTTTCCTCAACACTGCTTCTGGTGGTTTTCCCCCAGTTGATAAGGCCTCAGCAAAATGTCACCTCCTGGGAGGTTTCCCTTGCCTCTCTATTCAGCTATTTATAGCAGCCTCCTGTCATTCTTTCACACTATTTGCCACAATTTGTGTTTTAATAGTCATTTGTTCCTTTATTGGTTCAAGGGTCAGTGTTGGTGTGGTCACTGCTGAGTCCACTGTTCCCAGAAGACAGGGTCCACAGCAGGCACTCCATAAATACATGTTGCAGAAGGACTTCCCTCACTGGCTCACTCTGTGGAGTGAGAGACCTAATGGGCCCCATTTACCTATTGCCTCTGAAGATTAAAGGGCAGGAACAAGGTAGAGGGCCACTGCCCTCTGGCCTGGCATGGCTCAGAGGCAGCTTGGGGTTAGCTCAAGGCAGCTAAGCAGGTCCAGCCCAAGGACTAAGTCAAGTGGGCCGAGGAGGCTCTGAGAGTGGCCGGGGCCAGTGTGCACTCCCTGGCATGGGTGAGGACTGCTGGTGTTCTGGATGCACATTCATCTCATGCGAGGTGCTGGGGCCCAAGTTCATGTAGGTTGCTGGCAGCTGCACATAATGGTCCCCAAGCAGTGCAGACACTATCTGCTCCACTTCCCCCACTAGTACTCCAAAGGTGGGTCGTGCTGCTGGGTCCGCCTCCCAGCATTGCTGCATCACTTGGTACCTATTGGGGGAAAGGCATGTCAGGTTAAGGCAACTTCCACCCAAGGATTCTGGGCCACCCACTTGCTGTTAAACCTCTGGCAGGTCACACAGGGATGAGGATAGGTGACAGGACCTAGTACCGAGCACTTTCCAATCAGGAGCAGCTCTTCTCATCCCTATGATTGTTGTTCCAGTCCTGCCTCTCCACCCTGGCAGAGGTCCAACTACCTCAGGTGTTAAGAGCTTGGGCTCCTGTGCCCTGTGCCCTGGGCTATGTGATCTTGGGCAAGTTCCTTAACTTCTCTGTGCCTCTGGGTCATCCTCTGATCACAGAGCAGTAGGCACATAGGCTGATGCCTGTGAAGTGCTAAGCACAAGGCCCAGCTCACGAGGTACCATGGTCATCATCACAGTTCTTCCAGGAAGGAAGCCTGGGTCCAGCAAAGCAGGAATTAAAAATCCTGAAGCGGTCGGGCACAGTGGCTCATGCCTGTAATCCCAGCACTTTGGGAGGCTGAGGTGGGCAGATCACAAGGTCAGGAGTTCGAGACCAGCCTGGCCAACATAGTGAAACCTCATCTCCACTAAAAATACAAAAATTAGCTGGGCATGGTGGCACACGCCTGTAGTCCCAGCTACTCGGGAGGCTGAGGCAGGAGAATCACTTGAACATGGGAGGCAGAGGCTGTAGTGAGCCAACATTGTGCCACTGCACTCCAGCCTGGGCAACAGAGCAAGACTCCGTCTCGAAAAAAAAGAAAAAATCCTGAAGCAAGAGCATTTGGGGCAGCACTAGTGGCACGCTGGTCCTGAAGCAGAGGTTCCCCAGGTTTACCTGCTGGGTCCTAGTGCATGCCCCATTATCTTGGGGATGTCATTCCTGCCTGAAATAATACTCTAAGTACCTTACACACAATATCTCATATAATTCTCAGACTCTCGGAGGGTGGTACTGTTGTCTCCACTTTACAGATGAGGAAATTGAGGCCCAGAGAGGAGAAGGGCTGGACTGCTGAAGTGGACCCTATGGTGTACCACCCACATCCCCCTTTCCTCTCCCAGTGGCTGGGTGTGTTGCCTGCTGATGGTTCTTGACTGAGGCTCTCTCTAAGAATTGCCCTAGGCAGAAGAGAACTGCCTCTGCCAAGCTCACATCCCCTCATCAGGGACAGCCTGTGACTAGTAACTGATTAATGCCTGGTACAAAGACCTGGCCTGTTGGTCTCAATTTCAGAAAACTCTGGTGGGTCATCCCAGTTCAAGCAGTCCCTGTGGGATGGGCTGCAGTTTCTGTGACATTTCTCTGTCCCAGTCCTTCTTCCCTTGCCCCCAACCTCTCAGTAAATCCCCATACATAAATCTCCAGCTGAGTCTGTTTCCAGGAGCCCAATCTAGATATGGGTAGGCAGTGAATTAAAGAAATGAATAATAAGAGCAAACCCAAAGCAGGTAGGACTGTGAGGAAGGCTACTTGCATCCTTCCTGGAGCACAGCCTGAGACAGGAGGCGTCAACTACTTTTACCTATGTTCTGGTTCTCTCTGTTCTAACCCAGCAGACCTGGCCACTGCTCAGGCACACCTGCTACATATGAAGCTGAACCTCAGAACTGAACCCACCCCATAGGCACTGAGGACAACGCAGCTGCCGCCATCCCTCCAGGAATGGGGAATCTGAAACCACATCCAGTGAAAAAACCTGATCTGGAGATCCAGAGGGGGTTGCTGTTGGGGTTATGGAATCTTTCCTCGAGATTAAATGAGAGGAAAAGGTGGAAAGCAGACCCCATTAGTGGGAGGCGGGGAGGAGGAGTGCTGGGAAAATCAAACCACTGGCCTCAACCCCAACTCTGAGCTCAGAATGCTGTTACCATGGCAACTGTGAGGTCCTCCCAGTGTCCCATCCTGCATGTGGGTGGGACCAGTTCACAGATGAGGAAACTGAGGCCCAGCGAGACTCCCTTTCCTAGTCAACCAGAAGTTCAGTCAGGAAGCCAGGCAGGAGCTCTGTCTCCTGCCTCTTCCATGTCTCTGGGGCCCAGTTCCCTCCCCACTACCACCTCCACATACTTACAGAGAATCCGGGCAATACTCAGGCTGGGGCAGGCGCCGACCCTGGGCCAGGAAGTGGGTGAGGTCAAAAGGGTCAATGTGGGGGTATGGTGGGGCACCCCGTGTCAACAGTTCCCACAGCAGCACACCAAATGACCACTGTGGAAAGGGGGAGGTAAGGGGACTCAACTCACTCCAAATTTGGGGGCAGGTGGGTCCCCAGGGCTTCTATCTCCCAGAGTCCTTCAGCTGGAAATGGAAGACCCCACCCTCCACTGAGAGCTCATTCCTCAATACGTCACCAGTGTCTTTCCTCTGTCTCCTCCCACCACCTCATCCTGCCCAGAGTTGGGGCTGGGCAGGCCCTGGATTATCTGTGAGGAGCCAGTGAGTTCCCAGCCTCCTCTTGCCCTGGCAGGTGTCAGATTCCATCTTACATCTGCCCAAGAGGTGGGCAGAAGGGCTTTGGGAGTCATCTACCCTGGGGACTCCCTGGGCTCAGATTATCCAGAGCTGAATGGGTGAGGCCCAGTGTTCTCGGGTGCCAAAGCCATGTGGACTATAGGGCAGATGGGGCCTCACCACATCAGACTTGGTGGTAAATCTATAGGTCTGCAGGCTCTCCAGCGCCATCCACTTCACAGGTAGGCGAGCGTGGCGATGCTGTCGAACACTATAGTATTCCTTGTCCAGGATGTCACGGGCCAAACCAAAGTCAGCCACTTTGACAGTGAATGACTCGTCCAGCCTTGGGGGTAGGGAGAGGATCACACTTAGGACTGGCCCTTACCAGGCCCTGAACCCACCTGTTCTAGGCCCTTACAGAATTTCTTTTTTTTTTTTTTTTTTTGAGATGGAGTCTCGCTCTGTCTCCCAGACTGGAGTGCAATGGCGCGATCTCTGCTCACTGTAAGCTCTTCCTCCCAGGTTCATGCCATTCTTCTGCCTCAGCCTCCTGAGTAGCTGGGACTCCAGGCGCCCACCACCACACTCGGCTAATTTTTTTGTATTTTTAGTAGAGACGGGGTTTCACCATGTTAGCCAGGATGGTCTCGATCTCCTGACCTCGTGATCCACCCGCCTCGGCCTCCCAAAGTGCTGGGATTACAGATGTGAGCCACGGTGCCCGCCCACAGAATTTCAAAGCCACAGTGTCCAGTCCAAGTCTGTACTGGGCAGACAAAAAAAGTAAGGTGCAGAGAGAGGAGGACAAGGCTGGAGTGGGCCCTTCCCTGAGGCAGCCTTAAGCACCGCACACCCTCATGCCCTGTGCCTTTGCTTCACCCCAGCTACTCTGGACTCTCACATGCAGTTTCGCGCAGCCAGGTCCCTGTGCACAAACTTCTGCTCTGCCAGGTACTCCATGCCACGGGCTACCTGCAGGCCAAAGCTGATGAGGTCCTTCACGGTGGGGTTCTGGGGGCACAGGTGGGTTGGTGGGCAAGGGCACAGCAGCTCCTTCTCCAGCTGCTGCCCAGCCCCCAACCCAGAGCCAGCTGAGCACTGACCCGCTGAGATGAGCGGATGAACTGGAGCAGGTCACCGTGGCACATATAGGGCAGCAGCACATGGGGCAGGCCCTCGGGTGGCAACATGATACCAATGAGAGCCAGCACATTCGGGTGGTTCAGGCCACGCATGAGCAGCCCCTCTCGAAGGAAGGCCTCCACCTGCTGCATCTCTGTGATGCCTACAGAGCAGTGCAAGTCAGGCACAGGGCAGGGCATCCCTTTACAAGGCTCATATGGGGAAATGGGAAATAAAGGTCTCCTGCTCAGGGTCAGTCAGTAAGGTGGGAACACAGAGAAAAAGAATCCTCCCAGCCTGAGGCCCCTCCCTCTGCCCTCCCATCTTCTGCTCCACTCACGACTTAGTGACTTGATGGCACATTGGATTCGATTCTGGGCCTGGTCTATGTATTCTCCATGGTAGACAACTCCAAAGTGGCCTGGTGGGAAGTAGATAATGAGTCGATGAGAGGGGCTCCAGGGCCCAAGGCTCACACCACACATTCTCATTGGCAACCAGACCTCAGAGCACTAAACTGGCCAATCTCACATTTTATTTTTAATTTTTATTTATTTATTTTTTAGATCGACTCTTACTCTGTTGCCCAGACTGGAGTGCAGTGGTGCGATCTCAACTCATTGCAACCTCTGCCTCCTAGGTTCAAGTGATTCTCCTGCCTCAGCCTCCTGAGTAGCTGGGATTACAGGCACCCACCACTACGCCCAGCTAATTTTTTGTATTTTTAGTACAGACTGGGTGTCACCATGTTGGCCAGACTGGTCTCAAACTCCTGACTTTGTGATTCACCCACCTTGGCCTCCCAAAGGTGAGAGCTGGGATTATAGGTGTAAGCCACCATACCTGGACCAATCTGACATTTTAAAAAAGCAGCAGGGCTGGGCGTGGTGGCTCATGCCTATGATCCCAGTACTTTGGGAGGCCAAGGTGGGTGGATCATGAGGTCAGGAGTTTGAGACCAGCCTGGCCAATATGGTGAAACCCCATCTCTAGTCCCAGCTGCTTGGGAGCCTGAGGTAGGAGAACAGCTTGAACCCGGGAGGCGGAGGTTGCAGTGAGCCAAGATCGTGTCACTGCACTCCACACTGAGAGACAGGGTGAGACTCTGTCCCCCCCCCCCAAAAAAAAGCAGCAGAAGCAAAGCGCAGTGCGCCTATAATCCCAGTTACTCAGGAGGCTGAGGCAGGAGAATCACATAAGCCCAGGAGTCCAAAGCCAGCCTGGGTAACACAGTGAGATGCTGTCTTTAAAAAAAATTTTTTTTAAAAAAGGCTTATGCCTATAATCTTAACACTTCAGGAGACTAGGGTGGGAGGATCAGCTGAGGTCAGGGGTTCAAGACCAGTCTGGCCAACATGGTGAAACCCTGTCTCTAGTAAAACTACAAAAGTTAGACAGGTGTGGTGGCAGTGGCAGGCCCCTGTAATCCCAGCTACTCAGGAGGTGGAGGCAGGAGAAACGCTTGAATCTAGGAGGAAGAAGTTGCAGTGAATCGAGATCGCACCACTGCACTCCAGCCTGGGCAACAGAGCGAGACTGTCTCAAAATAATAATAACTAAAAACTAAAAAAAATAAAGCAGGGCCGGGTGCGATGGCTCACACCTGTAATCCCAGCACTTCGGGAGGCCAAGGCAGGTGGATTACCTGAGGTTGGGAGTTTGAGACCAGCCTGGCCAACATGATCATCTCTACTAAAAATACAAAAATTAGATGGGCGTGGTGGCGCATGTCTGTAATCCCAGCTACTCAGGAGGCTGAGGCAGGAGAATCACTTGAATCTGGGAGGCAGAGGTTGCAATGAGCCGAGATCACACCACTGCACTCCGGCCTGGATGACAGGCGAGGCTCTGTCTCAAAAATAAATAAATAAATAGGCCAGGTGCGGTGGCTCACGCCTATAATCCCAGCACTTTGGGAGGTCAAGGCAGGCGGATCACCTGAGGTTAGGAGTTCGAGACCAACCTGGCCAACATGGTGAAACCTCGTCTCTACTAAAAATAAAAAAAAAAAAAAAAAAAATTAGCTGGGTGTGGTGGCATGCATCTGTAGTCCCAGCTACTCAGGAGGTTGAGGCAGAAGAATGGCGTGAACCTGGGAGGCAGAGCTTGCAGCGAGCCGAGATAGCGTCACTGCACTCCAGTGTGGGCAAAAGAGCGAGACTCCATCTCAAAAAAAAAAAAAAGAAAAAGGAAAATAAAATAGTCTGGGGTGGTGGCTCATGCCTGTAATCCCAGCACTTTGGGAGGCCGAGGCGGGCAGATCACCTGAGGTCAGGGGTTCGAGACCAGCCTGGCCAACATGGTGAAATCCTGTCTCTACCAAAAGTACCAAAAATTAGCCAGGTGTTGTGGCAGGTACCTGTAATCCCAGCTACTCAGGAAGCTGAGACAGGAGAATTGTTTGAACCTAGGAGGAGGAGGTTGCAGTGAGCCGAGATTGTGCCACTGCACTCCAGCCTGGGCAATAAGAGTGAAATTCTGTCTCAGAATAATAATAATAATAATAATAATAAAATAGAATAAAAATAAAACTAAACTAAAATAAATATAATAAAACAGGCTGGGTTTGGTGGCTCATGCCTGTAATCCCAGCACTTTGGGATGTTTAGGCAGGCAGATTGCTTGAGTCCAGGAGTTTGCGGCCAGCCTGGACAACACGATTTGAGGCCCATCTCTACAAAAGACAAACAAAAAATTAGCCAGGCATGGTGGTGCATGCTTGTGGTCCCAGCTACTCAGGAGGCTGAGGGAGGAGGATCACCTAAGCCTGGGGAGGTCGAGGCTGCAGTGAGCCATGATTGTGTCATTGCACTCCAGCCTGGGTAACAGAGTGAGACCCTGTCTCAAAAACAAAACCATAAATAAAACCAAAAATAAACAGCAGCCACATGATGGCAGAGGCTATAATCCTCCTGTGCCTGATTGATCCACACCAGAACCCACTGAAGACAGAACTTTTCTCATCCATTTTACAGATGAGCAAATGGAGGCACAGAGAGGGTAAGTGGTATAACCAAGGTCACACAGGTTGGTGAGAAGGTTAGAGCAGAATCTGGTCCAACTGTCCCTTTAGCCTATGTCATTTTTTTTTTTTTTTTTTTTGAGACGGAGTCTCGCTCTGTTGCCCAGGCTGGAGTGCAGTGGCGCGATCTTGGCTCACTGCAAGCTCCGCTTCCCGGATTCACGCTATTCTCCTGCCTCAGCCTCCCGAGTAGCTGGGACTACAGGTGCCTGTCACCACGGCCGGCTAATTTTTTTTGTATTTTTAGTAGAGACGAGGTTTCACCGTGTTAGCCAGGACGGTCTCGATCTCCTGACCTCGTGATCTGCTGGCCTCGGCCTCCCAAAGTGCTGGGATTACAGGCATGAGCCACCGTGCCTGGTCTAGCCTATGTCATCTTGAGCCTCCATCTCTGCCCCCAGCCCCACCTGGCCCCCACACCTTTGCCAATGACTCGGTCACTGTGGGTGACCACCCGCTCATGGGGAATCAGCACATCCTTGACCTCAGCCAAGAGCGCAGAGTCCAGGTCCCTTAGCTGGATGGACTCTTTCCGCAGCAGTGGAACACAGGATTCATCTTCACTATTGGAGAAGGATGCTCCATGGACACAAGTGGAATCTAGACCATCAGTGGCAGGGCGTGCTGTGGGGAGAGGGAGTGAGGAGCTTGTAGGGAGAGGGGGTGGCTTTAGCTTCTCGTGCCTCCGCTATCTTACCAAGGCCACTTCTGTAGTCAGAGCCCGAGTAGAGAATAGGCAGGGGTGTGGCTCCAGCAGTCTGGTCCAGGGATGCCAGGTCATCCAGGTTGGGAGGAAGAACTGTGGAAAGAGAATCCCTGGTGGCCTGGCTTTCCAAGCTCCCAGGGGCCAACCCCTCTGGGGAGGACTTAGATCCCTAAGTCCTGGGCAGAGAGAGGATGTAGGGACTTGAAGATGCTATTGGTTGGGGGGTAGGGGCTGAATAAAGGTAGGAGCAGAGAACTCACCTAGCTGCTTCCTCTGCCACCAGTAGCTGAAGACCAGTGCAGTGGCCAATGCGGCCACAAGCAGCAGCAAAGGCAGCAGGATACCAAGGAGCGTGCTCTGTGGGACCCCATCTGGCCCTCGCCACACCACTCTACCCAGGATGCGACATTCACCATCCACGCAGACCTGGGAGCAGGTGGCAACTCAGGCCTAGCCTGCAGGCCCTCTGCCCGTGTTTCCCAGGGAGGTCCAGCTGGGCTGCCTACCTGCAGTGGGGCACCATCCTTGCCAAGCTGCAGGGATGGGGGCAGGGGGCAGACAACCATGTCCCCCCGGAACTCATGCTGGCAGCTCTCACCACCCACGGTCACGTTGACACCCACGCAGTCAGTCACAGCGCCCAGCCCAATATACTGCAGAGAGGGTCATGAGGACCAGCCAGTAGGCTGGCCCCTACTTTCAGATCACCAACTGTCCCTGCCCTATCCCTTACACTTACCTCAAACTTAATGGCATGCTCCTCAGGCTTCAGTGGAATTAGGTTGGCACTGGGTGGATGGGGTGGGGTTAGGAAGCGAAAGCCAGGCAGTGTAAAGCCAGCAGCTCCATCCCCCCAGGCACTCAGATTTCCTGCCACCCATCCCTGGGGGTCTTGGACCACATATTCAGGCAGGCGGCACAACTGCTGCTCTGGAAGCTGCCTCTCACACTGCTGGGACAAATAGGTGATTAGCCAGGAACCCCACCTGTGATTGCTCCTCTCAGCCCAGCACAAGGTTGGGCTGCAGCTCAGGGAACTCATCCAGCCTTCCTCCCTCCTGGCCAGCACTCACTCACCCTGCTCTCCACTGCCCTAAGCCCGTCATGGAATGACAGCACTAAGTGCCATGCTGAAGTTAGATGCTGGCCACAGATGGTGATGTGGGAGTTGCTGTGGAAGAGGGCAGGGTGGTAGGCTTTGGGTGTTCTCCAAGGCTGGCTCTCTCATTCCCCAGAGGCCAGAGTGGGCAAAGAGGTGGCGCTTACCTGTAGCCACAGTTGGGGCTGATGCTTAGCACGACAGGGTCTTCTCTGTAGTGGAAGGTCCAGGAACCAGGTACCTGGGCACCCCCCACCTGCAGGCTAAGGGGGACACTGGCCACCATGGTCCCAGGGGGTGTGGCACATAAAAGCTGCCCCTCACTGACCCTGCAGGAACAAGAGACTGGGCTCAGGGTTACCCCCTTTGTGATGGCCGGGCCCACTTCCTCCAGGGGCCTGTTGCCGTCTCCCAGTTTGTCTGTTATCTCTCCCACCTGCCCCACTCCATGGTCTGTCTGAAGATAAGGTGGTCCCAGGAAGACATTCCAAGAGGGTAAGGAGGGAACAAGTTCCCCAGAGCCTTGGCTGGAGCCACTGGACTCTGTGATGGGCTCTCTTGCCTCTGGGCTGAAGAGGGCAGTAGTCTTTTCTTCCTGGACCTGCTCTCCACACCACACTGACCATGTAACAAGCACTCTTCCCTCCATCCTGACAGAGTCCGGGTCTTTACCTGGATAGAACCCTGTGGCCTCCCATGCCTGCCTGGTGGTACTTACCGTGCTAGCAGACACTCAGTCCCATTGACCAGCACAGCCCGGCTGGTGCCTACAGACAGACTCTGGCCTTCAAGAGTGAGACAGGTGCCTCCTGCCCGTGGGCCAAAGAGGGGTTGCACTGCTATCAGCACTGGCTCCTAAAAGGATATAGAGGTGGCTTAGGTGGAGTAGGTCTTCCACTCCAAGCCCCTCCCTTCCCGTACCACGCACTGGCCAAGGGCACAGACAGGGCAAGGTGACCTCACCATGAAAAAGAAGCCTCTCAGCATGGAGGTGCCGTCTACCCGGAAGTGCTTGCCCGGTGGCATGTTAGTCACGGTGAGGCTGACGTTGGTAGGCCCCACTGCTTGGGTGCCCAAGGGCTCCAGTTCACACTCAAACTCCTCTACAAAGTCTTTCCGGGGCACTGGTCTGGGGCACCAGGGGGAACCCCTGAGGTCAGCCAGGAATTACACAGGCCTAGCTGCATGCCTGCCACAAGCCACAGGGCTCCTCTGAGCCAGAGAATGGCGTTTCTCCACCCATGCCTCCCTCCAGGGAAGGAAGGTTCCGGCGGGGCAGAGATTAACCTTGGCTGGTCCACGAGTGAACAGACAGGAAGGGCACATGAAAGCTCAAAAAGGGACAGAGACATCTCCCGAGACACAAAACAGTTAGAACCACTGCAGCTTCCCCCATCTCCTCTTGCCTCTGATAAGCAGAGAACAGGGTCTCATGGGGAAGGGGCTGCTTGGTTGCTCCCTTCAGGGAAAGGGAGGGGAGGGACCAGATTGTACCTGAGTTTTGAGCTGTCCTTGGGCAGTGGCCAGCAGGGACTTTGGCCCACAGTGATCTGATGGGTTCCCTCAGGCACCAGACCAGAAGGGTGCAGGTAGAAGTTGGAGCCACACAGGGTCAGCCTTGTACTGCCCCTTAAAGGTCCACTGTGTGGGTGGAACTGAAATGGGGAAAACAGCCTGAGTCCTCATGTGGGGTTGGGCTCTCTCAGCCCCACCTGCTTCCCCAAAGTCTCCTGCCATACCCCTTGCCTGCCCCATGCTCCAGCCATTTGGAGTCACTTGCTAGTCCTCATTCAAGCACTTTCCTGCCTCCAAGTCTTTGCATGTGTCATCCCCTCTGACAAGAATGCCCTCCTTGTAGATATGAAGGACACTCCCAGACCTGAGAAAGATTGTGATCAAGACTTGCTAGGCCGGGCGCGGTGGCTCAAGCCTGTAATCCTAGCACTTTGGGAGGCCGAGACGGGCGGATCACGAGGTCAGGAGATCGAGACCATCCTGGCTAACATGGTGAAACCCCGTCTCTACTAAAAAATACAAAAAACTAGCCGGGCGCGGTGGCGGGCGCCTGTAGTCCCAGCTACTCGGGAGGCTGAGGCAGGAGAATGGCGTAAACCCGGGAGGCGGAGCTTGCAGTGAGCTGAGATCGGCCACTGCACTCCAGCCTGGGCGACAGAGCGAGACTCCGTCTCAAAAAAAAAAAAAAAAAAAAAAAAAAGACTTGCTGACCACCACCCCAGGCCCAGCCTGTCCCACTCTTACCTGTGCCCTGCCAGGGAAGCCATACCTCAGTAAGCTTAGGCGGACAGTGGTCCTGTTGCCAGGAGCCAGGACACTCCTTCTGCCGGCCACACATGTTCCCACACCAGCCACAGCCCATGAAACGCTGTGCCCTTAGGCAACGCCAACAGGTGAGGAAGTGGTGGCAGCCAGGGCCTTGGATAGGCACCTGGAAAACCTGGGGGTAGAAGACAGGTGACTAGGGGCACTTGGAGGGGGAGATTGGGCCCTATAGACCCTCCTGGTACACTGTAGGCTAGGGTGGTAAGGCCTGTATGTCAATGCCTCCCTGGATTGGATGGAGAGTCTGTGATCCCACAACCCTGGCCCCAGGCCCTGCCCCTGCCCACCTCACCTGGTCCCCAGAGGCGAAGAATAGGTGGTCCCCAAGGCGACTGACATCCCGCTGCACGGGCTGCCCACTGTCACCCAGTGAGAAGTTGGACACATACAGCAAGTAGTTGAGTGACCTGGCCAGCTCCACCTAGGACAGGTTAGATGTGAGCAAAATGGGGATGGAGACAAAGACCCAGGGCCAGGGGGCTGTGGGGATGAGGACCCACCTGCAGGATACGCCCATCTGCTGTGCCCATGTGCGCCACTGTGACGTTGTCAAGGCGTGTCACATACAATGCAGTGACCTCTACTGTTCCCAACAGCCCGTTGAATAGGTCCACACGTGAGAAGCTGCTACTGACCAGCAAAGGGAAGTGGCGGCAGCTGGTGTTGGGGCTGGGGGCCTCCAGGCCAGGCTGGGAAAAGTCAGGTAAGGGAACGAGTCAGGGTTCAGCCCTGTGCCCCGACCCTCTGGGGCCTTTGTCAGTGGCTACAGCAGCCCAACACTCTCACCCTTCACCTGGCCTGACTGGAGAAGGCCCTGGGCCTGCTGGTTACCATCTCGCATTGCCCCCACAGGGCTCTCAGTGTAGCAAGGGCAGGCAGAAGGCCCAGGCTGGAAAGCCCAGTCCCCATTCTCCCTGCCCCACCTTGCCATGTCCATCCTGATGGTGAGTTACCCCCATTCCATCCTCACAACCACCCCATATATCTTTTTTTTTTTTTTTTTTTTTTTTTGAGACAGTGTCTCACATTGTTGCCGGGGCTGGAGTGTAGTGGCATGATCTTGGCTCACTGCAACCTCCACCTCCCGGGTTCAAGTGATTCTCCTGCCTCAGCCTCCGGAGTAGCTGGGATTACAGGTGCTCACCACCACCCCTGGCTAATTTTTTGTATTTTTAGTAGAGATGGGGTTTCACGATGTTGGCCAGGCTGGTCTCGAACTCCTGACCTTGTGATCTGCCCACTTTGGCTTCCCAGAGTGCTGGAATTACAGGCATGAGCCACTGTGGTTGGCCTACCCCATACATCTTACAGATGAGGAAACAGGCTCAAGAGGTTTGGTCTCTTGTCCAAGGCATCATAAACGCTCAAGAGGGGAGCCAAGTTGGAAGTCTCAGTTCCACAAGAGTCTTCTCCTGCCCCCTGCTGGCTCTTCTCTGCTTCTGTGTGTGCACTTCAGCAAACCCTGTCTCCTCTGGGCTTCGGTTTCCCCACTTGCATTAATTGGCCAGCACAAGGTTGGGAACACAGTCCTTCTCCCTAGACTCCAAAGGTCTTCCTGTACCCTTGGCTGCTTCCTATACCCCCCTTTAGGGTACAAAAGGGATAAACCAAACCCCTACAGCCTGGGTGCCAGAACTAAGTTCTGGAAGCTAAGGGGTACTAACCTCTTCCCTGCTCTTAGCAAGGGGGTGTTTTGGGGGTTGCAGTCATGCCCCAGGGCAGGACTGTGGAAGCTCTGGGAAACCAGGACACCAGGGTATGAACTCATGGTGTTGGAGCTGAGTGTGAGGGGCAGACAGGGCTCAGTAGCCAGCCCTAGGTGCTCAGGACGCTCCCTCACCAGCCCTGAGGGCACTCCTTGAAGCAGGAGCCTCTGAAGTCTCCATCAGACCACAGAGACTTAACCCAGTCCTGAGACCTCAGCACTGATTAGTGGCCCTGGAGGCAAAAGTAGATGTGGAGCTGAGCCTTGAAACCCCATACACCCTGCGCCTACAGCTTGGGTGGGGGGGACTGGGATTTTGTCCTCACTTGAGGCAGGAAATCGGCTTGGCCCGAGCCGGAAGCCTGCCAGGTGTTTCCAGCATGACTCAGGGACAGGTGGGGCTCTGACGGGGAATAGAGCCCTACCTTAGCCAGGCCCACACCCTAGCCTGCTTGTCTCTAGGCCCCAGGACCTTAGCTCTAGGTTCCCAGGCTTAGGTAGGGGCTCCAGGCTCCTGAAAACACATAAGTGTCCAATGTCCCATGGAGGACAGGCACCAGCTCTGAGTCCCTCAGGCCTCCTGAGGCCAACGACTATGTGGGTGCTGCCCCAGTGGCTGCATGCCCACAGTTGCTAGGCAAACACTGTACAGGGTGATTCACACACCTCCTGGGGGCCTGGCCAGCCTGTGGGCAGGGACCAAGATTAGTCCTCCTGGAGCCTGGCACTGCCCAGCCGTGCTGGGTGTCTTCTGACCCACTGACCACTAGCCAAGCTGGGGAGAGGTTCTGACTCCCCACTGGGAAGGAGAAGGGGCCAGGCAGGCCTGCCCAGGCCCAGACAAGGAGTCCCCAACCCTAAGGCCTCTCAACCCAGATGTACTCAGCAGAGGGAGGGAGGCTAAAGACCCCCAACCTCACATTGGGTGTAAGTTCTCCTCCCATCTCCGAGGCATCAATAGGAGTGGAAAGGAGTCTGTTGAGAATGTCACAGCAGGCCCAGGGCCACAGGATGATGGCTAGAGAATATGAGAGCAGTAGCTGTGGGTCCCATTCCTTGGTCCAATCTTATTGCTGTTGCCTACATGATGGCTGGAGAGAGCCTAGATAGAGCCTGTTGGAAGGAGCCCCCAGTTCAGCACGGGCTTTGAGACTTCCTGCCTGGGGCAGGGCTCCAAATACGGTTTAAAAAAAAAAAAAAAAAAAAAAAAAAGTCTGGGATGGACCAATTCCAACCAGCCCTTCCTAGGCCTTCCCCAGATGTTTATAGTAGTTTGCACAAGACTAGAGTGAGGCTCCCGGAACCTTCTAGAACCAAGCTGCCATCCCATGAGTGCTGGGTACTCCCCCCAATCACCCCCAATCATGTCAAACAGGTTAGTGAAGCCCAGGACATGCAGACTCCCTAACAAGCTGCCAACTTCCAAGGCCCAGGAGGCTCCCTGGAACGTGGTGGCTGGCAGAAGGATGGGGGTGGGTGTGGAGGAAGGGGAGATTCTCTGACAACTCCTGTCCCACCCTCTTTGGAAAGCAGAGCAAAACAAGGGAAAGTGAAACTGTTGGCAAGCAGCTGTGAGTCTGTGAATCTGTGAGCATCTCCCTCTGTATTTGTGTGTGGTGGTGGTGGTGGTGGTGGGCGAGGGGGGCGCTATTTTTTTTCGTGTGTCCCTGAGGATATGGATGGTGGACAAGTAGGAGGGAATGCCCATCATTCTACCCAGCATTCAGGAGCTATGCTAACAGAGACACGGTTATGTAACCCCATCCTCACATAGCCAGGGAAACTAAAAAACCAGAGGCCATGATGGGCAGATAGGGGAAAGGGCAAAATGAGGTAGTCACAAGGGCCAGCCTGGCTGGCAGCCGAGCCTCCAGTGTAGCCTTTGTCTGGCTGCTTTCTCACACCACCCTAGCACTTAGGAACTGGGTGAGAGAGAATGCTTCTTTCCACCTGCCCTCCCTCTCCCAGATCCCCTCAGTGATGGAAGGGAAGCAGCCTGTGTTCAGCCACGTGCATGCAGCTCACAAGTAAGGGCCCCTTATTTCAGCTCACCGGGTTGGGGCAAAAACTGGGTGACTGGAAGAAGTCGAGGCCTCGCCGGAGGCCTGGATGGACTGGGGATTCACAACAGCGCTCCACACCTTCATCAATTAATGTGTCCAGCAGGTCAATGGGGAAGGCACAGACGACAGAGTTGGGGCCCACGCCAGGGCCACTATCCTTGCCAGCCACAAAGACCCCAAATAGCACTTCCTGGCCCTCAGCAATGCTCAGTTCAGTGGCAAGTTGAGCACCCACTGGAGCAGAGTGGGCCACCCGCAGCACAGGGTAGGGCTGTCCGCCCTTTGGGGCCCCCCGGCGCCTGCGTTTTGGAGCAAATCTGCAGTCGAGGACCAGCTCCCGATAGTCACCCAGCTCTGGCTCAGTGGCGCTAAGCCGTACCAGGCGTGTGTGCAGGGCACCAGGAGCATCAGTCACGCTGGCCGGCTGTACAGTCAGGAAGTAGACGAAGGCTCCCGTATGGAAGCTGTGCACGTATTCAATACTGTAGGAGACAAGATGCTTGGGCAGCACTGACAACGCCACAAAGCCCGGTGCAAATCCCGAGGCGTCGGCCTTGAGACGCCTGATAGACACTGAGCGTGGGCTGAAGCTGGCAGCCACGGCTGCGTCCAGTGAGGATGCCACGTAGAAATAGGAGGCCTGGCCTTGCTCAACCACAGTCACACGGGTGCCCAATGGGCTGGCCACACAATCGGGGCAGTCATCGGGCAGGTTGTGGTGGGCTGAGAAGAGGCAAGCTGGCGCTGCCAGATGCACGGCTGTCCCTTGGGGATCTAGGTCATGCAGGAAGCAGCGGCCCTGCAGGCTGGAGCCACAACTGACCAGGGCAGGCAGCGCGGGCTCCAGCACCAGCACCTTTGTGTCTGTGTCACCGGAAGGGCCGTGGGGCCCTGGGCCACAGGCTGCACACGTCTGGCAGCCAGGGTCCCCAGCAGGGCCCGTGGCCAGGCTCTGGACAGACTTCAGGTCAGGCCCAAGCACGTGCAGGCGATTGCGTATGGCTACAAACACAGCACTCTCATTTCTGTCGCCCTCGTAGGTCACCATGGCCTGCACCAGGCCTCCGGCGGAGAAGCTGGGCACCATGTACTTCACGTTAAAGTCTCGAGAGGCCGCGTAGGGGGTGCGCGGGCACTGCCATTCCGTGGCCGCCGCGGGCTTGGCAGGCAACAGCAGCAGCAGTAAGAAGGACTGAGGCAGCGGAGGGAGGAGCTCCATCGAGGCGAGCTGGGACCCTAGGGGATCCCTACGGGCCTGGGCCTGGGCCTGGGCCTGGGCCCGGGCCTGGTTGGGGGCCCGACTCGAGGTCTGGACTGGGCCAACTTTAAGCGGCGGTCCCGACAGCCCCAAGATAGCGGACCCCCGTCCCAGGTTCCTGTGAAACCCAAATCCCTACCCGGCCCTCGGGTCTGGGCACCTGACGCCCGCGGACGCACGGACAGCAACGCCCCAGCCGCCTCACCTGCCGCCCCAGCAGCCGCTGCACACTGGCGCTTAGCGCTCAGCCGACCAGAGGGCGCCGGGCTGGGCGGGCGGGGTCGGGCCGTGGGGGCGGGGCCGCGAGGGAGGCGTGGTCTACCCCAGGCCCTCCACCCATCCGACTCTTCCGGCCCTTGGAAGCCTGGCTCCTGTACCTTCTCTGGGCGTCTTGGCGCCTTTTTCTCAGCGGCCTGTGGGTGGATGCGCATGGTGCGGCCTGGAGAGAGGTGAGCCGGTCTGAACCGTCCCATCCCATCCCCCCACTACCGACTGGTTCGCAGCGAGAGGGGGCAGGACACTGGGCTCTTTGCTTGTGGTGGAACTAGTTTGCACTTAGTAGCAACACCCTCAAAGGCTGGTGCCCAGAGGCTTCCTGGGGGCCCACCATGTGGGGAACAGAGACCAGGATTGTGTGGAAGACCAGAGGGGAGATGTGGGGGACTTAACAAGAGATGTTATGGGGCGCCACCCTTTGTGGGAAAGGACTGTCCTTTTTTTTTTTTTTTTTTTTTTTTTTTTTTTTTGCTCTGTGACCCAGGCTGGAGTGCAATGGCGCGATCTCTGCTCACTGCAAGCTCCTCCTCCCAGGTTCAAGAGATTCTCCTGCTTCAACCTCCTGAATAGCTGGGATTACAGGCGTGCATCACAACACCTGGCTAATTTTGTATTTTTAGTAGAGATGGGTTTCACCATGTTGGCCAGGCTGGTCTCAAATTCCTGACCTCAGGTGATCTGCCCGCCTCAGCCTCCCAAACTGCTGGGATTATAGGCGTGAACCACCGCGCCTGGTGGGGACCATTCTTCCATGTGCTTCTCCTGAGCTATCAACAAGATGGTCTCAGAGAAAGGTGTGTTATGCCCTGCTCTCCTAGGGCCCTAAGGGTCTTAGGATGGGATCTGGCCTTGCTGACTGGACCTCAGAGTCAGAGAGTCACATAAGTGGAGGCCCAACCCTAATTCTGGTACCTCCTCTGCAGCCTCAGTATATAGAAGCTGTATAATGGGGTTACAATCCACAATATGGGCCTTGGGGACTCCCCCTTCCTGGCTCTGCCCAGTGCACCCCTGATATGGAGGAATCATGAGCTTTGGCTCTCAGGACACTTCCAACCTGTTCTGTAGGCCTTGCTGGATCTTATTCTCTGCAATGAGAATGTGAGAATGTAGTTCTGGGCTGGGCACTGTGGCTCATGCCTGTAATCCTAGCACTTCTTTGAGAGGCCAAGGCAGGAGGATTGCTTGAGGCTAGCAGTTCAAGACCAGCCTGGGCAACATAACAAAAGTCAACAAAACAAAAAAACTGCTAAAAATTTAAAAATAAAATGTATGACCGGGCGTGGTGGCTCACGCCTGTAATCCCAGCACTTTGGGAGGCCGAGGCAGGTGTACCACTTGAGGTAAGGAGTTCAAGCCAGTCTGGCCAATATGGTGAAACAAGATGGTCTAAAAACAAAAATTAGCCGGGTGTGGTGGTGGACACCTGTAATCCCAGCTACTCAGGAGGTTGAGCGGGGAGAATGAATTGCTTGAACTTGGGGGATGGAGGTTGCAGTGAGCTGAGATTGTGCCACTGCACTCCAGCCTGGGCGACAGAGCGAGACTCCATCTCCAAAAAAAAAAAAAAAGAAAAGAAAATGTAGTTCCGATTAGGTGATTTCCCAGAGTTCTCTCTTCTATTTATGAGGAGTGGGGGTGGGGGAGCCTAGTCCCACACCTGGATCTCAGCAGCTGCCCTTTGGTAACTGGTCCTACCAACACTAGACTGAGGCCCCTGGGGGACAACCTTAGCCTGACAGCCCCCTCAGCTAGATGGGCCTGGACCCCGGAAGAAGGGGAAGGTCCACAGGGTGGCTTTGGGCTGTGAACTATGGGCCCCAAGGCTGTAGAGGATAAGGATTCTAGGGGACAGAGGAGCCCTCAGCCCAACAGGATTTAGCCTGGCTTGGGTATCTATATCTCCTCACTCTCTTTTCAGTCCATACTTCTGCGCCTGCATCCCCTTCCTAACCTAACCTTTGTAAGTGCTGTTCCTCCTTCCAGGAGCACTCTTTCCCTTTCCTCCTTTTGCCACCTAAATGGCACCTCCTCCAGGAAGCCTTTTTGATCCAGACTTTGCCAGGCCCCTCTCCTGGGTTCCATAGACCCAGTGCTACACCCACCCCAGCACAGTTTACTCTGGATACTTCACTCTGCCTCCATCCCCAGTGCAGGACTTCCCCCTCCTTCCAGCCTGGAACTCCATGAGTACCTGAAGACTGAAAGAGGAAATGGAACTGGGGGTGGCCACACCCAGTGCAGGGTTGATACTGTGCCCTGAGGTGACATAAAAGACACTCCTTTTCCAAAGCAGAATTGGCCAGGAAATGAATAAACACCCTGAGAAAACCGTGGCATGGTTCCTGCATTCCACAGTCAACACATCTAAAGATAGGCAGGGCAAAACTAAAATGAAACATTCTCAGCCTGGCGCCCAGACAGGGGTTCTGGTGACCCAAATCCCACCTCCAGACTTTCAGAAGGATCTCGGGGGGTTGGGAGGAGACTTCACAAGCCCTCTTAAATCACCCCACCCACCCCTTTTTGGGGGTGGCGTTGCAGCAACCATTCGTTAGTTCTCTGCTGCCACCGTGTGGCCACGCTAATGGCTGTCCCCAGGCGGAGGTCCCCTCTAAGGCAGCCTTGGTTCTCAACAGCAGGGGTACACAGGAGCACCCCTTCCTCGTCTCACCATCTGCCGCCTCTGTAGGAGGGAGCAGTCAAGGTGTGTGGGGGAAGTCAGCTAATGGGGCTCTTAAGTGCCAAGTACAAGGGCACCCCCAAGGTAAACTCACGAGGCCTGGCCCATAGCTGGCTAAGAACCTGCTCGACTGCCCTTAGCACCTGACGGCTTGAAGGAATGCTAGCCACTTTTCCCTCCTTGAGCTCTCAGTCCCCTTTGAACACTGTTCTAGAGGACTAGGTCTAGCCTCTTTCTCTAATCCCAAGATCACCTTAGCAGTAGCAAGGTAGTCTCTCCAACTGTAATATGACCACATCACACTGCAGGTTACCTGGAGTTTGAGAACCCCAGCCCTTATGGACTCCTCCAGCTTCACTGCAAACAAGTTATATTAGGTTCCCTTTTTTTTTTTTTTTTTTTGAGACGGAGTCTCGCTCTGTCGCCCAGGCTAGAGTGCAGTGGCGCAATCTCAGCTCACTACAACCACCGCCTTCTGGGTTCAAGCAATTCTCCTGCCTCAGCCTCCTGAGTAGCTGGGACTACAGGTGCACGCCACCACACTCAGCTAATTTTCGTATTTTTAGTAGAGACAGGGTTTCACCATGTTGGCCAGGCTGGTCTTGAATTCCTGACGTCAAGTGATACACCCGCCTTGGCCTCCCAAAGTGTTGGGATTACAGGTGTGAGCCACCATGTCCGGCCCGTACAGGGTTCTTACCATGTCCTTCCCTTGGCACATGCTGGCTCCTTCACTAGGAACACCTTCCTTATTTGCCTGTCGTCCCACCCGTGATCTCCAAGCAGGTATACCTCACGCTCCTAGGTGCCTACAATCCTAGGCCTGTATCCAACTATGGTCTCCCCAGAATATATGCTGAACTACAGAGAAACAGAAACCTACAAGAGTCAGGGCAAGCAAAAGAGGCACTTAGGGGCTCACTATTGACCAGAATGCCAGTAACAGTCAGGGACAGCTAGCCTGGCATCACCCAGGCCCCAGAGGCAGTGGTTTGATGTTCTTACTAGGAGCAGAAGAGGAACAAAAGCAGAAAACAGGCATAAAAGAGAACCGGGGCATGTGTGGCAGGGTGAACAGCACCCACCAAGCCTATGGCTGCTCCCCAGAGGCTTTGGAATCTGGGCTGGTAGCCTGCTGCCATGTCCATTCCAATGTGAGCCACAGTGGGGCCAAGGGCAGGGGCTGTGCTGCCATTTTCTGGGACAATAAATACAACTGTTTCAGTGTACCCTGGGCCCAGCCACCCACACAGGCTTATTCTTTAACATGGCTTGATTTTAGTGGCAGAAAATACTGGCCCAACTCTCAGAAACTGCATGAGGGTGATTCTCTCTGACAGTCTGAAGACCACATTCAGAGGACAGTTTTCTTCAATAAGTACGTCCTAGGCCTTGTGCTCCCTGGGGCCAGAACTAGAAGATCCCCCAGCAGCAAAGTGGAAGCTTTCTGCACTGTGCCCTAGGTCCTGTGGTAGAGTAAATGGGGCTCGGCTTTCACTACGGAGCCTCCTGGATGTCCATGGTGCCCCATGCAGGTCTGCCTATGCCATGCCAGGGACTAGGGTGACTAAGGAGAGCCCAGTGCACGCAGTAGCATTAGCTCTTATTATGACAGGCCCACTGCCTTAGAGGGTCAACTGGGCCTTCTCTCAGACCCTCAGCTCACTCTTGGGGACCATTTGGAGGATTGCACTGGCTGAGGTAGGAGAACTGAGGCACACAGCCCTTCATGGGAAGGCCTAAGCAGGGACAGTTTCCTCAGAGGCCTGCAGCTAAAGGGAGGCTAGATTCTGAATTTCAGCTGAAGACTGAGTTGCCTCACCAGGGGCTCCCTCCGGTACCAGGGCTCAGATTCCCCCCATTTTGACCATCTCTATCTTACTCAGCTCAGCTCCTGCTGAACTACAGCAACCCATTAAACAGAGCCACAGCGAGGGCTCCCAAGGTGGTTGGGTAGTCTTTTGTGGCATGCAGTGGGGGCCCCTCCCAGGAGTGATAAGAGAGGCAGACAGCAGAAGCTCAGACTGAGTATGGGGGTGGGGGTAGGGTAGGGCAGTATGGTGCCTGAGAGCCTTTTACATATGGTAGGACTTCAGCCGAACCAAAACAGCCCCAGCCCAAGATCCAACTGAGAATGTGTGTGGCCTCATGCTGGTGCAAGGGAGGGAGAAGAGGGGCTCAAATGTGCCTGTGCCCCTGTGCAGGAGCTAGGGAGGAGGATCCAGTGTCTGTATGTGAGTGAGGGTGGATGGGCGAAGGGACAAGTGACAGGGCTTGACAAGTGTCTTCCCCAAAGCACTTTAATGCACTCACCAACCCACAGTCCCTGCCTGCTGGCTGGGCAAGAGAGGCCAGCCCCCATCTGGAGGCTCCTACGGCTTCCCACACCCAGTGTGCCTGGGAAGGCTGAGCCTGCACACATTCCCATCAATAGGTGAGGGGCGTGAGAATGAAGAGGCGGTCTTCCTCTTTGCGGATCCAGCGCATCAGCTTATGGATGGCACTGACAGCTGACGCCTTGGTCCCCAGGGGGCTGTAACACATGTAGAGCTCAAAGGCGCCTGTCACCTGGAGAAGGGGCAAAGGGTCGTCATCTAGGTTAGATGCCCCTCATGGCCCACACCTAGGACCTCTGTGAAGCCCAGCCCATCCCAGGGCTGCCTTACCCAGGCCAGGAGGTTCTCGTTGGGGCCCGTGTAGTAAATGGTCTTGAGTGGGCGAGAGGCATTGTGGGCACGGCTGTGCAGGTACTGGTAGAGGCCCAGCAGCCGCTCCTGCTCCTCTTCACTGGTGTACGGGGCCTCAATCTCAGGGCTGCAGACAGGGTTGGGGGGAGTAGGTTTGCAAAAGAATGACTTCCACTGTCTTCTCTAGAGATTTAGAAATACCTCTTCCTATCCAGGAAGACTCTATCATATGTCTTACCCTCCAAATACTCCCTTAGGACAGGGCATTGTCTCCCCACCACAGCAGGCACTCCAGGACATAGCTGGGCCCACTGAGACTAGAGCTGTGTCCCCTCTTACCCCTAAGCTCATGGTGTCTTTGGTGACCCCTCTTTGGAGAAGCCAGGTTGAGTTTAGATGTCCAAGACAGAGTGACAGATCTGGAGTAGAGGAAAGTGAACTAGGAATCCTGTGGGCCAAAAGGGACAAAGGGAGGCCATATCTTCCCAGCCCCTCTGCTGGGGGAGGGAGTAGAGGAGGGCTCTGCTTCCTGAGCTGGACCAAAATGACGCCTAAAGTAGAGTTGCTCTAGCACAAGGGACCTGGGAGACCTCTGTTCCAGTTTCCTTCCCTGGGTATACTGGACATTTCCAGGCCTTCTGGGTAATAAAGTAGAGAGGGGTATGCTCATAGGGTGATGGAGAGTGTGGGTCTCTGGTGCCAGAGTAAAACAGACCCAGCACACTGGTCTGCTTCCAAAGATGGGGGCAGCTTCATGGCTACATCTCAGAGCTCAGGAGCAAACAGCCTCCCAACTCCACATGTCCCTGTCCCCCTACAGCAGTGCCCTCAAGGCCCTCCCTCACCTGGTGAAGAGTCCCGAGCTCTTTGACTTATAGAGGAAGTGACGCAGGTCAGGGATGCCCACTTGGGCAACGCTGTAGTAGGGTGTGCGCAGCGCCTCTCGCAGGGCCAGGTGGGCTCCGCGCTTGCGAAGGCGCTCCTGGAAGCGGCGGCGGCAGTCAGAGACTGCAAAGAAGTCCTCACGGTCAGTGGAGACAAACAGCAGGCAGAGGTCGGTGTCAGGCTCTAGGTAAGAGATATGTGCGTGGAAGAAGCCGGCTGCGTTGAATTTGGGCAGGCACACGGGCGTCCAGGCCTCGCCCTCGCGGAAGGACGAGGAGGAACTAATGAGGTTGAAAAGCAGGTGCAGGTCGATGGGGTGCAGAAATTGGTCCTTTCGGCGCACAAGTGCCACGAGCTGGTTGCGGGCCAGCAGGATGGAGAAGACCAGGCTGCGCGCACGTGCCTGCTGCAGGCTGGCACTCACAGTATCGCGCACGGCTGCTGCGAGGGGCAGGCACCGTGCCGCCCCCATCAGGAAGCTGGGGTCTCGTGCCATGAGCTGCAGCAGGTTGTCGGTGATGCGTTCTGAGCCCGAGAGCAGGCGCCGTAGGTCATAGTTCTGCTTCTGCTGGAAGATGTGGCTCAGCTGCGCACCGGTAAGAAGGCTCAGGATCTGATAGTAGATGTAGAGCAGCTCCTGCGCCAGCTCTTGTGCCGACTGCCGTGTGCGAGCCACTGCCACTAGCACCAGCGGGCTCCGGCGCACGAATACTACCTTGTAGCCATCTGAGGGCGGGATGGGAAAGAGGGATATCAGCCTCAGCCGCAGCTCCCTCCGAACACCGCTTCGCCCATCCTTTCCTCGCTCAGAGCTCTGCGCACAGTAGGGGCTTAAGGATGTTCAGGATAAAAACCCATTGCTCCTTCTCCCTGAGGGCTCAGGGCCTATCCCTGCCACTTGTTTCAAAGACTAGCTCCCTCTGAAGCACATATTCTTATGCTAAGTGCTAAGTCAACTGACAAGGGCTGGCTGGGTGGGGCTCAGGACCTGGGAGATACATATATGTATTTTTTTTTTCTTTCTTTTTGTCACCTCCCCAGGGAAATTCTCACTCTCTCCAAAGGCAAAGCCCATGTCAGAGGCATCTTTGGTCCTCACCACAGCCCCATGAGGCCAGCAGTGTTCTTATCCTGTGTTCAGGTGAGGACCTTGAGGCTCAGAGAGGTAAAGGGGCTTACCCTCAGTCACATAGCACATCCCAGCCCTCTGGTCTGCAGGGGTCCAAAACCTGCTATGAATGAACCTTGGCCAGGGGAGCCCACCCCATTCCCTCTCCAGGTGGCTCACCTGCATGGATGGAGCGTATGGCGTTCTTGTCTGCCTCCAGGAAGGACACCAGGGCCACCATAACACCCATAGTGCTGGAAAGTGCCTCCTCAGACCCATAGCGGGAGTACACAGGCTTCCCTGCCTCACTCAGCACAAAGACATGCTTCTGGTGCAGGCGCCATGCCTCCGTGGCATCCTCCTCATCCCCCTCGGCTGTGCCCTCCCTGGGGGGCTCTGTGGCTGGTCGGCCAACTGCCCCTGGGGGGTCCAGCCAATCCTCAGAGCTTCCTGGCAGCATCTCCTCCTGCAGGTCCCGGGCCACACCCGTCAGCTGGGTGCTTAGCTCGCTAAAGTCCTGGCTGATCTGACGCATGTCTGCAGGCAGCGGCGGGGGACCCCTGGCACCCTCCTTGGGGCTGTCCCCAGAAGCTGCCCCATCCTCTGACTCAGTCAGGTCCTCGTAGGAACGGGCATGGACGAACATGGCACCCTCCTGCCCAGCACCTGCAGGCCAAAAGCACTGGTGCTTAGAGGGGTAGCTACTGGCAGACACTCCTACCAGCAAGGTGCCTAACGTGGTCACTCCAGCATGACTGCCTGACTTGTTAGGGTCAAGCCACTGTTCCCTTCTGCCACTGTCTGCCATGGATGATGCTTCTCTGAAACTTACAGCCCACCAGTCTCCTCCCATCATACTGGAAAGAAGACCGAAACCACTCATGGCAGCAGTGGTGGCTGGTATCTGCCTACCTCTCATTCCCATCTCCCACCCTACTCCCTTGCCCATCTTGGTCACACTGGCCAAGATCTGCTCTTAGACAGTTTCAACATGCCCCCACCTGCCTCGGGACCTCCACACCTGCTGTCAGCTGTCTCCTATCTCCCCACGTGGCTGGCTAATTGTCACACTTCAGCTTTCAGGGAAGATGTTAGTTACTGACTTCCAACCCCAGGCACTCTATATGTCCCTCTTTGATTTCTCTTGTGGCACTTGCCAATTATCGTCCTTCTCCCCAGCTACAATGGTACCCAGCAAGGTGCAGGAACGTAGCACCTCACCCTGTGTCTGGAGCACCACCCATACTCAATGAATCTCTCTGGGAGAAAGCTCCCCTACCCTACTTAGGCCATAGCTTCTGACTGACCCCCTGTAATGGCTCCACAGCCTGTGACTGCCTCATGGCAGGGACCAGGTCAGTCTTCCTTTATTGGTTTTTTGACAAAATAGTTTAACAGATATATTTTGAGTCTCTCTTATGAAATCAGCCCTGTACCAGGCACTGGGGATATAACTGCCCTATGCTTAGTGTTCACAATCTTGTGGAAGAGAGAGATGGGCAATATATGCATAAAGAGATAAAATTATGAAATAATTAGTGTCCTATACAGAGCATGGTCAGAGCAGGCCTAACTTGTGAGGAGGGGAGAAGGAGCCGGGGAGGTGTGCTGTAGACACAGGGAACAGAAGAAGAGCCCACAATGGCAGCCAGAAAGCTCAGGGCGAACAGCATAATACGAAGTGGAGAGGAAAGCCACATGCAGAACGAGCCTGGCCTCCTGCCTTTTCCCCAGAACCTGACAAATATCCAATGAGTGACTGACAAATGCATGAATAAGTGGAAAGCAAAAAGTGGTTGGGAATCCTAATTTCTGCCCCCACCCCCCCAGAGCCTGCTCTGGTTGGCAGCTGGCTGAGGCTGTACACTTGCCCATACCTGGCTCCATTCCCTGGGCCAGTCCTGGTGTGGGGCTCTCAGCTCTCTCCACACTGTGTCCATCAGAAGGAGTCAATGTGCCATCAGGGCATTCGCTGCTTCTCTTCCTTTGCATGTCAGCAGCCATCCTTTGGGTTCTCCTGTGGGGCAAAGGCAACATCGATGGCTTTTGGCAGGGTCACAGGCATAATCAACAGTGGTACTAAGTAAAGGAAAGTGTCCTTTATCAGGACTCCACTAACTCAAATCTCTAGAAAATGGATTCTGAAAATTCCTTTCAAAAAAATATATACTGTTCCTTTTCTGATTATAAAAGGAAGACATATTCATTGTAAAAAAAACTTGGGGCCGGGCGCGGTGGCTCAAGCCTGTAATCCCAGCACTTTGGGAGGCCGAGATGGGCAGATCACGAGGTCAGGAGATCGAGACCATCCTGGCTAACACGGTGAAACCTTGTCTCTACTAAAAAATACAGAAAACTAGTCGGGCGAGGTGGCGAGTGCCTGTAGTCCCAGCTACTCGGGAGGCTGAGGCAGGAGAATGGCGTAAACCCAGGAGGCGGAGCTTGCAGTGAGCTGAGATCTGGCCACTGTACTCCAGCCTGGGCGACAGAGCCAGACTCCATCTCAAAAAAAAAAAAAAAAAAAAAAAAAAACAACTTGGAAAGCACAGAAAAGTAGAAAGAAATATCAAGATTTTCCTACCATTCAGGATCTTTCACTGTTCATACATTAGTGTATTTCCTTCTAGTCTTTTTTTTTTTTGAGACAGGGTCTCACTCTACCACCCAGGCTGGAGTGCAGTGGCACAATCTTGGCTCGCTGCAGCCTCCACCTCTGGGGCTCAAGCAATTCTTGTGTCTCAGCCTCCCAAGTAGCTGGGAATACAGGTGTGCACCATCATGCCTGGCTAATTTTTATATTTTTTGGTATAGACGGGGTTTCACCATGTTGGCCACGCTGGTCTCAAACTACTAGGCTCAAGCAGTCCTCCCATTTTAGCCTCCCAAAATGTTGGAATTATAGGCAAGAGCCACCACGCTCAGCCTGGTCTTTTAGAAAAAGTACATAAAATGTAAATAATTAAACAAACTGATAACAGCAGCTAACAGTTATTCAGTGTCAGCGTATCATGCTAAGAAGTTTCTGTGGATTAAGTTACCTAATCTTGATCACGCCTCTATGAGGCAGATGCTCCCATCAGGCTAGCTTTATAGATGAAAGAACTGACACTGAGAGAGCTTAAGCAGCTTGCCCAATATTACTACAGGAAGGAAGTGCTGGATTTGGATCTGGGAGTTGAAACAACTCTGTATCCTGTATCCGGTGCTCACTCCTGTAATCTTAGCAAAGATTGGAGGCCAAAGAGGGAGGATCACTTGAGCTCAGTAGTTTACTAGCTGGGGCAACAAAGTGAGACCCTGTCTCTACAAAAAACTTAAAAAACTAGCCAGGCATGGTGGCATGTGCCTGTAATCCCAGCTACTGGAGAGAGGATCACATAAACCCAGCAAGTCAAGGCTCCAGTAAGCCATGACTACAACACTGCACTCCAGTTTAGGCAACAGAGTGAGACCCTGTCTCAAAAAACTAAAACTAAAAATAAATAAAAATAAAAATTAAAGGAGTTGACCAATAGTTCTTTTCGGATATCTAGGTGTTTGCAGAGAAAGAAGTGAGACACAGCCAACAGGCTTGTCTTCAGGCTGAAGCCCTGCTTTTCTCTAAATATCCTTTTGTACCTTTTGAATTTGGCACAAGTTGTCTTAACAATTAAAAACAACTATAGACGGCCGGGCGCGGTGGCTCAAGCCTGTAATCCCAGCACTTTGGGAGGCCGAGACGGGAGGATCACGAGGTCAGGAGATTGAGACCATCCTGGCTAACACGATGAAACCCCGTCTCTACTAAAAAATACAAAAAACTAGCCAGGCGAGGTGGCAGGCGCCTATAGTCCCAGCTACTCGCGAGGCTGAGGCAGGAGAATGGCATAAACCCGGGAGGTGGAGCTTGCAGTGAGCTGAGATTCGGCCACTGCACTCCAGCCTGGGCGACAGAGCGAGACTCCATCTCAAAAAAAAAAAAAAAAAAAAAAAAAAACAACTATAGACAGGACAACTCTCAGTGCCCATATGATGGCCAGGATAGATTCAGCTGGATCTCCTTGTCCTTCCACAGCCCCAGGCCCAGGTGGAGGTGGCCACAAGTGAATGTCAGTGGTAACAGAGCCAGCTGGGTGGCTCACCAAGGGTGGTAGCAAGGCTTATTTCACCTCTAGAGTCCTTCAATGGCAGGCTGAAGGATCCTCACTTGTCAGGCAACATATAGTTCACCCAGGAGGGGATCCATTCCAGGTACCAATCCTCTAAGAAAGAGGGATCTAGGTGGATGGATTAGAAGGGCAGAAACTCATGGGGCAAACACTGCAGGCAGGCCAGGGGCCCAGGAGACACTGGTGTTAGTGTGAGCAAAGTAGACCTGAGCCTGCCTCCCAGAACACAGAGTCTGATGGGAATAACTGAGCTCTTGTCCCCTCCTGGCTGTGTAATCTTGGGCAAACGACTCTTCCCTGAGCATGGCATAAAGTAGGTGTTCAAAAAAGTTCATGAAAAGGGTAGTCCCAAACAGATAGCCTCACCATCAGTAGCATTTGTGTGGTGCCAGCCAGTGTATGTCCAAGAACATTCTCTCTGGACCTGGCATAGCTCCAGTCAGGCAGCTCCTATGTGTGTGCCCAAAGAACTAATTTTCAACCTCTTCTTTTTGTCACCTTTATGTTGTTGTTGTTGTTTTGTTTTTTTTTTTTTTTTGAGACGGAGTCTCGCTCTGTTGCCCAGGCTGGAGTGCAGTGGCCGGATCTCGGCTCACTCTAAGTTCCGCCTCCTGGGTTTACGCCATTCTCCTGTCTCAGCCTCCCGAGCAGCTGGGACTACAGGCACCCACCACCTCGCCCGGCTGGTCTTTTTTTTTTTGTATTTTTTTAGTAGAGATGGGGTTTCACCGTGTTAGCCAGGATGGTCTCGATCTCCTGACCTTGTGATCCGCCCATCTCAGCCTCCCAGAGTGCTGGGATCACAGGCTTAAGCCACTGCGCCCGGCCAAGTTATGTAATTCTTTCTTTAATTGAATCTTTTGCAGAAGCTCCATGTGCAAATAGACAGGGAAGCAGAGCCTGTATCCTGATAGCTGGCCTGGTGGCCACTCCTGCACTGAGCCTGAAGGACATGGGGGGTTGGGCACCACTGCCAACAGCATCACCCCCACACAGAATAAAACCAAAGAAAGAAAGTTGGGGAGATAATTTGGGGATTTTCTAGGCCCCCAATCCCATCCATCAGGACAATCAAGAGTAATGGTTCCCAGCAAGGGTCAGAGCCCAGAAGGCCAAGGTGCAGGCTGCCTTGTCAGACAGTGGGCCATAGGAACTAAGAGGCTGCATGCCCTCAACAAGGAACCTGCGGTAGCATCCACAGAGGTCCCCTCTGAGGCTGAGACTAAGAGGAGCAATCCAAAACAACCACTGCAAAACCACAAGGCCCAGGATGCTGAATGCCAAGGAAACCAGGGCATGTCTAAGTCTTGAGCAAGAACATACAGGCCACGTGTAATCATAGACCAGTAATTCCAAAGCTATCCTAAAAGCCAGAGTGGGTTCTGAGAGATGAGTCTGCAGGCCGAGAGCAAGCTGCTCCTGACAGTGCCAGGGTTGTGGCCAGGGTTTCCAGGCCTATCTGTGCTCAAGCGATCCTCCTACCTCAGCCTCCTGAGTAGCTGGGAACACAGGCGTGAGCCACCATGCGTGGATAATTTTTGTATTTTTTTGGTAGAAATAGGGTTTTGCCATGTTTCTCAGGCTGGTCTTGAGCACCTGGGCTCAAGCAACCTGCCTGCCTTGGCCTCCCACAGTCCTGGGATTACAGGTGTGAGCCAGCGCCCAGCTTGGAATGCTGGAATGCCCTTTTTTTTTTTTTTTTTTTTTTTTTTTTTTTTGAGATGGAGTCTTGCTCTGTCACCCAGGCTGGAGTGCAGTGGTGCGATCTCAGCTAACTGCAAGCTCCGCCTCCCGGGTTCACACCATTCTCCTGCCTCAGCCTTCAGAGTAGCTGGGACTACAGGTGCCCACCACCATGCCCAGGTAATTTTTGTATTTTTAGTAGAGATGGGGTTTTACCGTGTTTGCCAGGATGGTCTCAATCTCCTGACGTGGTGATCCGCCTGCCTCGGCCTCCCAAAGTGCTGGGATTACAGGCGTGAGCCACCGCGCCTGGCCGGAATGCCCTACATTTCTATGTCTCCTCACTTTCCTACTCCTCTAGTTAACTTCACATCTCTTGTCTCTTCAAATGTCCATCATCTCCTTCCCTGATGGTCATACTTAGCACTATCAGCAAATCACCTTGCCTTCCATTTCACCGAGAAGACAGAAGTCATTCTAGAAGGCCGGGGCGGGCAGATCACCTGAGGTCGGGAGTTTGAGAACAGCCTGATCAACATGGAGAAACCCTGTCTCTACTAAATAAAAAAAATTAGCCGGGGTGGTGGAGCATACCTATAATTCCAGCTACTTGGGAGGTTGAGGCAGATGAATCACCACTTGTACCTGGAGGTGGAGATTGCAGTAAGCTGAGATCGCACCCCTGCACTCCAGCCTGGGCAACAAGAGCAAAACTCTGTCTCAAAAAAAAAAAAAAAAAGGAAAGAAAAGAACTTCCGGGCCGGGCGCGGTGGCTCACGCCTGTAATCCCAGCACTTTGGGAGGCCGAGGCGGGCGGATCACAAGGTCAGGAGATCGAGACCACGGTGAAACCCCGTCTCTACTAAAAATACAAAAAAATAGCCGGGCGAGGTGGCGGGCGCCTGTAGTCCAGCTACTCAGGAGGCTGAGGCAGGAGAATGGCGTGAACCCGGGAGGCGGAGCTTGCAGTGAGCCGAGATCCCGGCCACTGCACTCCAGCCTGGGCGACAGAGCGAGACTCCGTCTCAAAAAAAAAAAAAAGAAAAGAACTTCCGGAGATTACCACCACCACCTCCTCGCCTCATCTGCCAGACTAGGCCTTCCCTCTCTTTTTTTTTTTTTTTTTTTGAGACAGAGTCTCACTCTGTGGCCCAGACTGGAGTGCAGGAGCACGATCTTGGCTCAC